GGAGGGGAGCCGACAGCCAGGGGCCTGTTTTTACAGCTGGCAGTCATGGAGCGGTGCCGTCTCTGGCACGCTCCGGGAGGCAGGGCTTGGTGCCACTTCTGCCTCTGAGGAACACAAGTAACGCGCTCTTCCCCTGATGATGTCCAGCTTCGCCCCAGAAGAACGACGAGATACTGAATGCAATGTCCCACTTGCTGTGAAGCCCCAGAACCACCCGAGACGGGAGGAAGGAAGCCCAGGAAGGAAACGGCTGGAAAACTTCAGTGGTGGTGGCAGGGAGAGCATCTCCAGTGCTGCACTGGGAGAGGCTGGAGAGCCCCACTAGGGAAGCCCCTTGCTCCCACCTTAGCAAGCAGCTCTGAGAACACCAGCTCTGCTGCATCTCACAGACCCTGCGTGCCCTCCCCAGCGCCGGCTCCGGCCCCCTGCCCAGCACAGCCCAGGCACAGGAACACCCCGAGGCAGCTGGACCAGCACAGCTGCCCTGGCTGCAGCCCACCCAAGGGCAAACCCTTCCCCAAGGGCCAGAGGTGGCAGGTCGTCCTCCTTGTCCCCGCTGACGCCCCAAGCTAGTTAAGGTGTTTGTGCAGAACTGGGTCCCTTGGGAGGCAATTTTTGGCACATCTGCAAGACCTGGGAACTGCCGCTGCCTCTGAGCAGCTTGGTGGAGCTGGAGACACCGCCAGGTCTCTCCCAGCCCCATCTTCCCTCCGGCATCTCTGGCCACCTCTCAGGTGCCCATCCATGTGTGATGACCAGAGGTGGTTCAGATGCAGTTTCATGTCAGCCCTCCCAGTCCCTCGGACTCAGCCCCGAACCCCGTCCCTCTGCCCCGACTCTCGTCCCTCTGCCTGGCTGCGGTTCACCCGGGGTGGTACGTTTAACCCTGGCAGACTGGCGGTGCACCAGCCCCGTAGGTGAGGGCAGCGAGCGTGAGTCAGACAAGTGGGCAGCTCCAGCCCCAGCCCCCCGTTTGGAAACAGGTGTAATGCAATTACATCGGCCTGAATGTTATTAGGAGAAATCGATGTGATGGAATTTTTATGCCTTGGGTTAGAAAATCAGCTCCGTGACAAACAGCGAGAGACGCCTCTGGCAGCCACGTTCACCTGTCATCCCGAGCCCTTTAACTTGAACCTCACCCCTCGCTCGCCTCTCGTTATTAAACTCCATCCCTCAAGCTCGGCTTTTGATTTGACAGCTTTCAGTGAGGGGTCCTGATCTTCAAGTTAAAGGCGGTGAAAACCACCTTGGAGGAAAACTAAGCAGCAAGTGAACAATCACTGCTCGTTAAACTTATTCTCCCTCCTACTCAGCCCTGGGCTCCTGGGTTCCAGCCCTGACTCACCGCACAGCTCCAGCAACCCCGCTCCGCTGACTCACGACTTCTGCTCGCACACGCGTTCCTCCGGCCTCTTTCCCGTCATGGAAAGGGGAGAATGGGGGTCAACGAGGACCCTTTTCCACAACGCACATGCGCGTAATAGGCAGCGGAGCCTGAAGATGTGTCTCCTGTATTTAAGATCCCTTATGGTCCCTATAGCAACTTGGGAGGCTCTCGCTGGAGGAGCAGACGTGCAGGTGATGTTGGCTTGGCTTAAGGACAGGCAACAGCTGGCAAGGAGAGAAAACAGAAAAAGGTGGTGTCCTGTGGCTGCCCAGCTCTCCTAAAACCAAAAGGAGGATTCAGTGCTGGGCTCCGTCACAAAACGCCTCGAAGTCTGAGCTCAGAAACCACAGTTAAAGTTAGGTGCAATTAGGAGTGTGCCTGCAGTTCCAGAGAGAACCTCATTCAGCCCTTCTGGAGTAAAGCAATTTGGGATCCCAAATCTCTAAGTGTCTGCAGTACGCCTATTAGACCTGATCAAATACTATTTTCTGAATAATATATTTAATGAGTCATGATGTTTGTCAAACACATGATTAAACAAAGAATTCCTGGCATTCGTGGGCTAGCTGAGTGTCATATGAATAATGCATCACTTCGCCAGTGTATCTGGATATGAATAATTGTATCCAATATCTGGCCATCTCTGATATTTGTTATGAATACAATCTATTTATTGCATATTACATGTATAATTTAAATGTAGGCGATTGTGTTCTGCCTATTCCAATTTCCCCTGTAGCATTTCTCTGCAACCCCCCCATCATGTACCCTGGCTTCCCACCACCGGAGACCATGGCCAAGCTGCTGTGGCACGGCCGTGCTCGGACCACAGATGGGGAGCAATGGTGCCGGCAGACGGGGACCGGGACAGGGACTGCAGGGTGGGATTCACCTGCCCCCAAGCCCAGCCATCCTGACCCTCTGAGCCCAGCATCTTTCGAGTGGCTCTGAATTTGCCTTCTCTCAGGATGGTGGGTGGTTTCATTGCTATTAAGCCTTGGGCTAGACTCAAGGATATTTAATTCAATGAATGGATGAGACCTTTCAAGATCCTCCCACCTGCTGCATTTCATGAAATCTGCAGTATCTGGTGTTTTTTGAGGGGGCTGATTCATTAACAAAACCCTGCTTGCCAGCACAATTAGGTGGGCTGCCTTCACCTCTCCTTCTCCCTTGGAGGTAGTTCTGCTCGGGGAGGTGAACCATAAGAGCTCCCGGGGTTTGGATCTGTCACAGCAAAGTCACTCAACCAGTGCAGATGAGGCCACACAGGGACCAGGGGCAACCCGTTGGGCACAGTGTGGGGCTGGGGGTCTTGGACAAGAGGGGACCCATTACTCCACTCTCCAAGAGGCAGAGGATGCCCTTACTCCAGCCCCTGTGACGAGGCGAATGCCGCCCGTCCCTCCAGGAGGGCTGCAGGCACTGGCAGAGTGCCCCATGCCAACACCGACCCACTGGCCCACGCCGGACACGTCCCACCAAGAGCCCAGGTGGGCAGGAAAGATTTCTGGGTCCTTTTCCAGCTTTTCCGCTGCATCACACGCTCTCCAGGCAGCAGGGAGGCTGGCGGCAGCTTTGATCTCTGCCGTTGTTTTCACATTAAAGAGACTTTGCAATCGCGTTCCCTGCCCCTCCGTGAATCTCGGCACCGAGGGGAACGCTCACCTCCCAGACCAAGGGGAGCATCACTCATGCTCTTTCAACTACCTGCAGCTGCCCTGCAGGAGCCTCGCCTGATTAGCGCCAGGGAAGCCGGCGTCCCCACAGCTTTGAAGTCAGCTTTTCCTGGTGGAGAAGGAGATATTTTGCCGAGATGATGGGCGGGCAAAGCGAAGCGCCAACGGCAGGACAATACACGGCACGGGAGATGCTTCCTGCAGGAAGCAGCACCAGGAGCACGAAGGGACGTTGCCACTGGTGTTATGGTGAGGCTCATAGACAAGAAATAGCTCAATCTACATCAAAATGAAAAAATTCCTGGTGAGCCCCAGCTGCCAGGGACCCCAGCCCATCCATCCTTCCTCAGATAAACCAAAGATCCCTCCCGAGGCAGGCAGCGAGGACACAATTTACCGAGTATCTAAATGAGGAGGTGCAACAGTCCCCAGCCTTTCATTTTTCTGCCCAATTAAATAGCCCATATCTGAAAAGAAGAAACTCCAAGCAAGGAATTAAAATAAATGATGGATTTTTCTACCTTGTGGTTGGTTTGCGAGAAGTCTCATCTCATCTAAACCTGCCTCAGGATAAATAAAATCTCCTTTGTCAATATCTTCAACCACAAAGACAGAGAAAAGGAAAAGGGCGGCTGGGGAATTGCTCTTAAGGAAAATGAAGAGCACTTGAATTTTAGGCTCTGGCTCCCCCACTCAAGGTATGAAATGGAGCCGTGGTGCTCAGCAGCTTTGTTTTAGCAGAGGAATTCCCTGGGCCATAGGCAGGAGTTTGTGTTCCCACCTGAAATCTTGTCAAACCCGCTGGGCAGAGCAGCTGAGCACATGCCCAGCGCGCGAGGGCAGGCTGGGCTCTGCTGCCAGGACCGTGATTTGTGCCGGCGGCCGAAGTTCAGCATGGGAGGAAGCACCAGGTGCAGGGAAGGACACGGGGCCACCAAGGGTGTCCCAGCACCCTCGCTGCTGTACGTTGCTTTCGGAGATGGGACTGAGAAACGTTATTTCATTCGAACCTTTACACACCGATCTGCACATGGGACATTTTTAAAAGGATCGGAGTCCCAACTAGAAAATATTTTTGGGTTCACACAAGAGAAGAGGCTGAAAAGCCCCTGGGGAGCCTCACTGCAGCCAGGGGAGGAGACAGTCCACATGACAGGTGACAGCCCTGTGGCAGAGATGCCAACTGGGAAACCTTCTCCACTCAAAAAGTTTGTTTCTATAATTCTTCTCCAGAATCGTTTCCAGGTAAAACCAAAGCCAAAGCCACATGCCCCAGCCCTACACCAAGCTTCACTTCACAAACTTCTCCACTTTTCTGCTTGCACAACCTTCCCAGGGAGATGGCAGAGCCACCTGAGCCCCTCTAAAAATACACACCATCCAGCCCTGAGTTTATTGGCTTTTAGGTCATCTTTGGCGTGCCAACTGCCACGGTAACACCAAGGATGCAATTCCCCTTTCTGCCCACGCAGGAAAAGGCTGGTCCTGCCCGCTGGCACATGGGGATGGGTGCTGCCAAGGTGCCCAAACCTTGAGCCTCATTAGTGCCGGGATGGTGGGGATGGGGGCTCCCATGTCACTGCACTGCCAGCAGGGACCAGGCTGCGCTAATTCCGCAGGACAGAGCCCACTCCATCTGGATGCGGTGCCAGAGCCCGGCGCTATGCTTGGAGGTGAGGTGAGGATTCACATGGCCCCTGCAGCCTCCCGGCCACCAACCGCCCTCGTGGCAATGTCACCGTGGGGCTCACCACCACCATGGGGACAAATACCAGCAAACCCCATCAGCCAGCTGCAAATGCCAACAAGTCAGAGTTGCACTTGGATATTCCTCTCCATGCAGAGAAGATTTGGATCCTTAATTATCACCTAATTCACTGGGCCGGCTGCCGGCAAGGAAACCTCAGCAGCTACCAGGGCCTGGAAAGGGTGGGGGTCAAGCCCTTCTGCTCCCTGGCACCTTTCAGCAAACAACTCAGCTGAACATCTTTCTACAAACTGATTTCCACACTTGAAGAGGCTGAAAACTTCAAAGCCTGGAGTGAAAAAATAAAAAAAATACCCATCAATAATAATAATAAACCAGAGGCTTTCCAGCCGACAAGCCTGCAGCACTTTCAGCATGACTAATATTTTCCATGTGAAATAATAATCCACGGCGCTAAATTTCTCATCTCTATGCACGTTGCAGACAACAGGTGGGCTCTGCCCAAATTCACCTCCGAGCAGGACCTTTAATAAGGTGGCTTCGTGCTCTCATCATGGGGAAAATAATAGATTCCCAGGGTAGCTGCAAATAAGGAGGGTCAGATTCCAGCCACGGAGCTGACAAAGCCTTGAGTCCTCGAAGCAGGACACAAAACCCTCCTTTGTTTGACAGCAGATCTTACAGCAAATCCTCCTGCATAGTGGCCCCAGATTAGAGAGGTGACAGCGTGGCTGAGGCCCCCCAGCACCCTCCTCGGGCAGGATCCGTCTGCCGGCTCCGGGTCACTCCCTGCCCTCACCCAGGTGGGATGGTGGCCAAGATATAAAAGCTTTTGCATTTGCAGGGGTCTGCCCCAGCAAAGCAGCACGTCCAAGCTCACATGGCCCCACCACACTGCCTCTGCCCACCTCCAGCCCCATGCAATGTCCCCCAGCCCCTGGGAGATGCTGCCAGGAGATGCTGAATGCACAGAGACTGAACCAAACCGAGAGAATATAATAAATACACAGAAACACTCTTCATTTAGTTTGACAATAATTCACAGATGTCTGTCAAAAAAATCAGCCTTGAAACGGGCCCAGAGCTTTCCCAGGCAGATTTTCTCAGCAAGATCTGACCACAAAGCCTTAACATGCCTGTGAGAGCTGGGCATGAAGAGGTTAAAACCAAATAACAGGAGCCCGGCGAGTGAGTTATGAAGTTAATGACAAAGCAGGACCACGCTCCTCACCAGCTATTCCAGCCCAGGCTCCCTGTAAATCAAGCACCAGTCACCGTGGAGGTGATGGATGCGTGCAGCGCACATGCACAAGTTACACGTTTTGGTGGGTAATAACTCTGCTGTGAGCAGCCACCAGGATCATCCTGTGGGGCTGGGATGTGGGGGTCCCCGTGAGCTCCCCCCAGGAAATCGCCACTGGGATGGGGAGGGATGCCTGGAGTGGCCTCGAAGTGACGGGAAGGGATACGCATCCACCCCTCAGTGCTGGGCTCAGCACCCTGCTCACCCCCCCGGGCCCTACCGCAGGGTCTTGCGGATCATGTCCTCGTCAGTGATGCCGTAGTAGGTGAGCGTCTCGTTCCAGGTGGGGTTCAGTGTGTTGCGCAGCGTTTTGGTTCTCAGCTTATTCGCCTGGAAAAGCAAAGGAGATGGTGGTGGTCAGTGGGACCCGGCCCCAGGAGATGGTTTGGGCACCGATGGGCAGGGAGCGGAGAGAAAAGGAAGTGCAGTTTGGAGATGAAGGGGCAAGTGGTGCCGTTGCCCCGGCCAGTTCTCGACGGAGTGGACCAAACTCATCCCAACCACAGCGACAAGCAAAGGGGCAGAGATGCGTCAGTTCACTGGCTCGTTTGCAAAGCGATCCCACCTGCATCCCGCACGCTGGGAACGCCGGTGAAACAGGAACCTTGGCAGAGCACAGCGAGAGGATGAGGATTTCATCTATGCAGCAGTGGGGGGAGGGAGACAGAGAGAGAGGGAGGGAAAAATGTCTTTTCAGGTTCTTCAGCGACGAGCAAAGGGGCAGAGATGCGTCAGTTCACTGGCTCGTTTGCAAAGCGATCCCACCTGCATCCCGCACGCTGGGAACGCCGGTGAAACAGGAACCTTGGCAGAGCACAGCGAGAGGATGAGGATTTCATCTATGCAGCAGTGGGGGGAGGGAGACAGAGAGAGAGGGAGGGAAAAATGTCTTTTCAGGTTCTTTACAAAATAACAATGTC